AGTGATCCACCTGTTTACAGCCTCCCAAGAGCTGGGATTATAGGCACGCACCACCATGCCCAGTCTCAATTGCTGGATCAGTGAGCCCTGGGGGCAGGAGATCAAATCCTCAGCCCCTGCACCTGCTTGCAGATGCTTTACTCTGCTGAGCTATTTGACCAGCCTGAGATCACAATCTTTATAGTTAATTGCCATATAATTACTTATTAAATCTGGTGACAGCACTAACTCCGTGTATACCCCAGACTGATGGGACATCTTAAATAATCTGTAATCTCACTAGTTTTTCATGTGTATAAGATACTTATTATTCTGCTTCTCATTAAGCAGTATATCTCAGTCATGTTTATAGAACATGACACTGACCAACCATAGCATTACAGAAAGTCCTAGAATTCATTATTCTGCACCAATGCAAACAATTGGCTTGCTGTTTTCGCAGAAGGACCTAAATCAATGGTGTATTTGAATCATGGTGGAAACAGAGCCCAGGAGTTCCCTGAGACACCTTCTGAATTCTTGTTGATGTCTACTTTTGTGCTTTTCCTCCTAGCAGCTCTCTGCAGAGTGGCACACTGCAGCCCTAAACACAACTGCACCTCCAGTTGGATAGGGATTAGATGTGTCCTTTGAAGCATCTTGTGCTGCACTTGTGATCAGAGTATTGGCACCGTGTGGCAGCAACTTTCAGAGGCATAGCGCTTTCCAAGGTAACTAGGTCAGGAAGAGACAACCTTCAGAAAGGATTAATACTGGTATCTAAGAGTAAGTTAGTTCTCATGAGAGCAGAGTGTCATTAAGCGAGCCCACCCCAAGTGCTCAGCCTCTTCTGTTACAGCTTCCCCAACCTGCTTTGTTTCTCTGCTGTGATGTGATGTTTCTCGGTCTCACCAGACACTCATCAGATCTGAGGCATTTAGATTTTCAGCTTCCAAAACTGAGAGCTACATAAACCTGTCTCCTTAATCCAGTCCCAGGTTATAACAAAAGAAAAGAGACTAAGACAATGCCCGAAGTCTAGGATACAGGGACCCAAGGCGTGGAAAACTAGGTGACAAACAGTAGTCAGTGAGGAAGGGAAGGCTTTCTCAGGAAGTCAGGAATATTAAAACAGTGCAAGCAGGCACGGACCACACTCTGTTTGGACGTCAGAAATGCAGGTGGGAAAGCCTAGCTGCTGGGTGTGTAACTCTCAAGACTCAGGGGGAAGCTGGTCACAAAACTGAGGGGCCATACGAGAGACAAGAGCTCATGACGACGGGGGTGCCAGGGCTCAGAGTGCAGCTGTGGCTCAGGGATCCGAGAAGACCGCATATGGCGCAGGAGCCAAGAAAGGACCGCATGACCTCGCATGGCCAGATTCCACCAAACCCTTCCCCTGAGAACCCAGAACAGTGACGCACATTCCCGTCATCTCAGGCTGAGAGTTTTGGAAATGTCACACTCCCCTCTTCTTACATTGGTAAAAAATCAATTTTGAATCATGAGGCATTCATTCAGTTATGGAAATATGGAAAAAAGGTACTGTTGGTTTGCACCATCGTTGAAGACTCTAAATTGAAATAGTGTAATTAATGTAGTATCATAAGCAAAAAAGTCGCGATTTAAAAATTATCCAGTAATTTGAGGTTGCGGTTGATAAAACGTGTCTTTATAAAAAGCCCAGTGGACTCTCTTTTAAAAACAATAACAGCACTTTTCTAATTAACAGTATCATTAACAAACATTTTTTAAAGCTATTTTTTAAAACATTTGACACAGTCTTCAGTATTCTTTGCGTCATTATTAAAATATCTCTTATAAGAAAAATATTTCGGTCTACTCGCAGTTGAATCAATGAAATTTCACGGTAGTGAGATACCAAGTATTTCTAGGCAGACGCCACATTACCCAGAGTTGCTCTGGTCTCTGCAGCGCTGTAGTAAGTGGGGGATGTGTGGGCTTGGCTGATAAATTATGCAGCTGTCCTTATAAGTCTACTCCTGTGCTCTCTGTCTTGGAGTTTGAGCTCCTAAAAAGCAGGAAATTGTGCTCATCTAATATCGATATGTAGCATCCTGCAGTAATATATGTGACAAAAAATATGAGGTAAAAATGACCTTGACAGTGACAAATTTTAAATGGCTCACCTGACCGTAGCTCCAGCTTCTACTCTTGATGTCATTAAAGTCTCCATAAAAAATCACCCCGAGGTCATTCAAGACGTACTCTTCTCTTTCTTTCTCATCATCCAGGTACACAGCGTCCTCTACATTAGGATTTGAATATAATGGCCATTACTAAACCTGATTGTTTTCAAATATTACAAGTTTATTTGCGACTAAAGTAAAATGTAATCTATCAAGTGAAAATAATAAGTGTTTTTCTTTTTTTAAAAAACCTATCCATAGCTCATTTCCCAATCTTTTTAGCCAACGTAAACATAATCAGTACCAAAGATCAGACTATAAATGATGACATTTGTCAGCAAAATGCTGACAATCCCAGGTTCTGGAAGTCCCAAGCAGCACAATTAAATGGGCATGTCTCATTAGACATTTTATGATTCGGTGCATCAGTAGTTTCAGAATCAAAATTCTATGATGCTCATGCAAATCTGCAAGACAGATCAAAAAATAATTTGCAACCTACTAACGTTAATAGGAAAGCAGCTGAATCGAGAATGATTTTTCAAAATAAATCTGGGACACCTCAGAAGACAACAGCATCATTTGTCATGCCTGGTTTGTGGTCCCTCAGGATGGTGGAGGAGGGAGGCTGCAGGTTGTCTCCTTTTAATGAAAAATCTTCGCGGATGTGTTGGCGAATATGTGCACAACCACACGCCTGGTCAGCACTGTCCACTGCCAAGCCTTTTCTTCCTGGTGGCCACAGTTCCTAGGAAGGTCTGATTCCCTATGCAGCTTCTTAAGCATCATCTTGCACTTAATCCCAGGGCCAGGGTGAGTGCAGCAAGGTGTGTTTAACACAGCTAGAACTCATACGCAGGGGAGTTTGCACATTTGGAACAGGGTCAGGCTTGGCTGCCTGGGAGCATGGTTTATTTTATTATATTTATCTGGCTCCTATTTCTTTTTTGAGGGGTTTTTGTCCTCCTCATTCTCTGACACATTTTTATCAATCTTTAGTGGTGGTTCTCCATGTTGTCTATACACTAGAACTACCCAGAAACGTAAAAGTTCCCAATCTCCAGTGTTTCAGTTTGGATTTTTGCTATCCCTAAAGACCCATGTGAGAAAGGCTTGGATCCCAGACTGGGGTGCTATCAGGAGGTGGTGGACCCTTCGGGAGCAGAGCCTGAGGGAGGAAGCTAAGAAGTTAAGTGCTCTTGAAGGCCACATTGGGAATCTAGTTCTCTCTTTGTCTCTGTCTCTGTCTCTCTGTCTTTGTCTCTCCCTCTCTCTCTGTCTCTGTCTCTCTGTCTTTGTCTCTCCCTCTCTCCCTCTCTCCCTCTCTCCCTCTCTCCCTTCCTCCCTTCCTCCCTCCCTCCCAGGTTCCATTAGTTCTTTCTGTGTATCATGTGCTTCTTTCTGAACTACTTTCTCACCACTGGCCCAAATGACTAAGTGTCCATAAACTGAAACCACTGAAACTACAAGCTCAGAAAACCTTTCCTCCTATAAATTTATTTCTCTCTGGTATTTTGTCCCTGCCATGGAAAACTGGGAGCCACACTGAGTTGAACTCTAGATCAGTGAATTCTGTGCAGGTGGGTGAGACCCAGGCAGCAGGATTCTGTCTGCTTCGTCTTGAGCTCCCCTGTGACGCTTGAGTGTATCCAAGGTTGAGCACAATGCTCTGGACACTCACTCCTCCAAGGACTGAAAGGCCAGTAGGAGCACTGTCTGGGAACTTCTAAGAAATACAGGATCTCAGGCCTCTTCAGTCCTTCTGAGTCCCAGTCTGAGCTTAGAAGCTCTGCTCCAACCAGCTTAGACCTCCCTGTTAAGCTGTGCTTGGAAGTGGAACCCTTCAGTAATTACTTAGTCTTGCACAGTGTCCTGCACTTTGTTGTATCTCTCCTTACTTTTGTTCTCTGCCCCTTGCCTACCACTTGCCTGGTTTCATGCAACTCTATACACCCACACAGTCGATCCTTCATGTCCTCCAGTTCTCACACTGTAGATTCAACCACTTGCAGATTTAAAAGATTGGAAAAAAATACAGGGTTGAAGCTGCTAAGATAGCATCTATGTTACGTTACGTAGAATAAGCCATGCAGAGGAAATTTACAGAGCAGTGATGCACATAGGTTCTGGGCGAAAGCTATGCTGCTTACTATAAGGGATTTGAGCATCAGCGGACTTTGTCATCCTGCAAAGAGCACCTGGATCTGACCCCTTGCAGGCACCAGCGGACAACTGCATATTTCAGGCAGGTGCTTAGACCACCAAGCTATCTCCACAGCCCATTGGCTGCATATTTCAATGTTCAATAAATCACACACCATTAAAGTGTGCAATTGCATGATCAGGTTAATAAGCTATCCTCTGTGGTCCCTCACCCCCAAAATTTCCTTTGCTTCTCTGTGATCATTTCCTCTCTGTTCTGCCCCACCCTGCAAATCAAGTATCATTATTCATTTTCTTGTCACAGTAAATGGGCTAGAATGTTGTATAGAATCCTATATTGTGTGCCCTTTCTGGTAATCAGGGTTCCCCCCCCCGGCTCCATTATTTTGCATGTTGGTGCTGTACTGATAGCTCCTTCTTCTCAGAGCCATTTTCTCCTTCCAGAAGATTCCATAGTTCCATACCAAGCATGCCCCCAGCTCCCCTCAGATCTTGAAACTCTGAGCAATGGAGCTGGCCTGGCTGAGTTCTGGGGGCAGAGAGCTGTTAGTAGCAAACTCCGTAGAGACCAAGGCCTTCAATCTACAACACAGCTTCCTTTCCAAATGGAAATGTTCAGAGAATATGCATAAGAAGTGATAAATGAATTTGAAAATTTGAGAATAATATTTCCAAGAAAATGCATGAAGGAAAACTTTTATTTGAGAAGAAAATAGCTTTAGAGAATGTATGAAGGCACTGAACATTCACATGCACACAGCTATCTACCACATACTGGCAAACATCCAGAAAATGAAAGTCTACTTGTGTATCTTTATTCTTTTATGACAGTGGTTTAGCTGTCGTGCCCACTGCAACAATAGCTAGCTTAGCCAAATGGATTTAAGTGCTTGTTGTGGAGCTCAAATCCTCTTTTATGCCTTATGAAGTTTGGAAGTCACATTTTGGAGTGTTTCTGCACGATGATCCTGTGATGTTTTCCTTTAGAGTGAAATGTTCAGGGGCTTGTCTTGCAAGATAGTAGAGTGCAGTACAGCATAAACAATTGATAGGACATACATTAGCGGACCAAAATAGTGCAGAAAGAGATGTGACTATGTGCATCTGTCTTTTTCTGAAGTTAATATATTCATAAAGATAACATCATATAGAATGGTTAGAGTGTTCATTAATTCAGATTAGACAGTTTGCTATCAGGGAAAAGTCTATTTAATGTACAGCAAAATAAACCAAAAATTAGTTTAAAATTTGAATTTAAAATAGGAAACATAGACAATCTAGAATAAGATAAAGGTGAATATTTACTTGATCTTTTTATGAAAAAGTGTTTTGTGAGCTGGGGTCTCATGATGTAGTTCAGGGTGACCTTGAATTCACTACATGCTACAGGCTGGCCTTGAACCCACAGTGATCCTCTTGCCTCAGCCTCCTGAGTGAGGCATGCTCAGTGAGCAATTTTCATCCCCCAAAACATGATAGAAAGCTCTCAAAGGAAATAATCAATTTATTTTATTTAATAGAAGTGTCAAACTTCTGAATTTCAGATATAATAAAATTTAAAGCAGAAGACAAATGACAGAAATATTTCCAACAGGTTTTTCAATTTATTTACAAACATTGGCAAATTTTCCTTTTATGTGGAAAATTCTAATAAATTGAAAAGAAAATCATAAACAAAATAAAGTCAGCCCGTGAAAGTCAGTTCATAAATGAGAAAACGTAGCAGGAAAATAAATATGTAAAAACCATAAGTGTATAATGAAATACATATTTTACCTATAAGTGCACATATATTCATAATATATATGTATGCATGAGTGGGTTCAAACCTATAATACTCAAAACCAGTTAATATATGATAAATTGCCACTCTATGGCTGGGGCTATAATTGCTACAATATTTTAAAAAGGGGCTTGGCAATTATGTCATTCATCTTCAAAATATCCATGGTCTTCCTTCTACAGTGTGAATCTACTATCCGAGGACAATAATTCAGAGATGCATCAAAAATATATATATGTTGTTTGTTCATGTTACTTATAGTAAAATAATGAGGAAAATCTGAAAATTTTCTATATTTTTCCACATATTGTAACAGCCATGTAGTCACTAATGCATTCTTTGGAGAATTTTTAGCAATATTAGAAATGGCACATACACCAGAGTGAAAACAAATGAGGAAAAGAAAGAAAGAAAGAAAAAGAAAAGAAAAGAAAAAAAAAAGATAATTTGATCAAGGTGGCTGAGACAGTCAATATTCAGCTACCTCCCTTATTACTGCAGACAGATTGCTTGAAATGACTGAATTCACAATGTGTGTGTGTGTGTGTGTGTGTGTGTGCCCGTGTGTGCACACACAAGTGTGCATGTGGAATACCCTCTCCATCTCTAGAAGAATCAAGGATTTGTTGAAACAAAAAATTGCAGGAATAGGAAAGCTAGGAGAAGAGGCCAGGAAGATATTCAGAAAGTCTAATATCTTCATTTCATCATTTAAAGAAAGTGGCAGAAAAATAAAAGGAAAACAATCATCAAAATATCAGACCAAAAAAAAAAAAAATCTTGGCGCTGAAGAAAGTCTCTTTCCAAAAACAAAACCCAAATCAAACAAAACAAAGACCACTTAGATATGAACTGCTTACATGATAAAACTTTAAAGAAAAAGCATAGATTTTAACAGCTTTAAACCTTGCATTGTAAATGAAATTGAAAATATCAGTAATGACCTATTTGAATCTAATTTTCTTTTTTGAAGTTGTAATTTATCTACTTACAAATTTGCTGTGGTCTTACATTAATTTTAAGATCACCAAATACATACATACATACATACATACATACACACACATGTACATACAACTACAGGATATTTAGAGGTGATAGATATGTACATAACATAGATTGTAGTGCTAGTTTTATGGGTCTATAATTAGCTCCAAAGTTATCAAGCTGTCC